GGACGGCGCCGTTAACCTCTGCACGTACCACTACGGGGCGTGCGTGGGGACGCAGTGCCGCACCCCCGAACGGTGGCGGGACCCGACGAACAACTGCTCGACGGTGGCGTCAAAGGTGAGGGAGAAGTGGGGGAGGACGGACCTGAAGATGAGTTGGAGTAATCGAGAGGGTCAATGCGAGTTGGTGGCGACGGGGTGACCAACGTCGGTACCGGGAGGTCGGTGCAACACGCGGCTGATCTGGCACCCCGTTGGCGGTGGGGAAAGTTTCGGTCGGGATGTGTCGCCGCTCCACCCGGGCGGCGTCACCAAAGGGAATATGTCGATCTTCGGGAGCTACTATGGTACGGGTGCGGTTGATTTTTTTTTTTTTTGTTTTTTTTGCCCCGCAGGGCGAGACGGTCACCGACAACCAATGCTCCGAGACAGTAAGCGGTGACAGCCACATTGGACGTGGGAACAGGGAAGGAGTTCGGCGCGGGGGTGCGTTTACGAGGAGTCGCGGGCAAGCAGCGGTTTAGTGGGCGAGTTTTCGATGGGCATCGGTCGGCTGTGGAGGGGCAGCGGAGGGGGGTTAGTGATTTGGCGCGCGTTGGTTCGAAGCGCAGGCGCTGAGGAAGGGGAGCGGAATATGAGTGGAGCAAAGATGGTCCTGCCGGGCAGTCCCGCGGAGGCGGAGACTTCGACCGCGGTCTTGACGAGGAGACCGGGTGCCGGCGGGGTCGTGATGGCGCAGTCGGATGGTCGACGTGGGGTCGTGTTCGCGGTTTGTTGTCGGTCGGGTTGTCGGGATGCCTGCCTGGGAGCGCGGAGGAGGGACGAACACGGTGGCCGTACGTGCCGTCGGCTCGTCGGAGGGCCGCGCGGGCGTGGTTCGGATCGAGAGAGCCGGTCGTGCGGGCGAGGTCCGGATATGGCGGTGGACGACGCGGGCCAGCGACTGGAGGCGGGTCGTCTGACGCTGGGCGCGAAGGCGGCGCGGTTCGGTTCGAGATCGATGCGCTGGAGTCGGGAAACCACGTCGCTGGGTCTGACGGGGACGGGCCCGGGGAGCGACTGGCGTCTGGATGCTGACGACGGAGCTGGGACATCGACGGCGGCGGGCGTACGCGCGCGTTCGGAGGGTTTCTGACGGCGCTGCGCACGACGCGGCGCTTGGATGTGGCGGGCGAGGTCGAGCGCTGCGCTGTTCCACCCGGGCGGCGACTGCGCGGCGCAGCGTGCTGCGGCTGGGCGAACGCGGGCGGCGAGAGGAGGCGACGGTGGCGGTGCGGGCCGGCGACGACGCGGGCCGCGAGGGCGGTCGATTGACGGCGGAGTTGGCGGCGTGGCGGTGGAGGCGCGCGGCTACACGGGTCGGCGGCGCTGGAGAGCGGATCGGCGGCGCGGCTTTAGGGATCGCGGGCGACGGCAGCCGGCAAGTGGCGGCTGTTTTGGAGGCGGAGCGGGGATCGGCGTACGCGACGCGAACCTGCTGCTGACAGGATCGGTGTCGTCGAGCGTGGCCGGGGGGAATATTCGCGGGGACCCGGGGGCGGCAACGTGGTCGCGATGTGCCGATTTTACCGTCGGCGTGGACGGCCGCGGGCGGCGCGGCTTGGTTAGGTGGTGAACCGGTCGCCGGAGCGGGCAGGTCGAGATCGATGCGTTTTCGCCGCGACGGACCGACGCCACGAGAGGTTGGGCTGGCGCTCGGGGCGGGGGGGTCGTTCGGAGCATTCGACTCGACGGACTCGAGCAGAGCAGTGCAGTCAGGAGAAAGGGTGGTCTCGAGGGAAGCACGGGATCGGGCGGAGGGCCACTTGTGGCTGGAGCTGACGAGCGAGTCGGACATCGAGGTGTTCGTGCGTGGACCGCGGCGACGGGTCCGCTGTCGGCTGTGCGCGGCTACGGCGGGGAAGTCGAGCGGATTACCAGGGAGGCAGATAAGAGGAGCGAAGGGAGGGACGAAGGAGGGGGGCGAGGCAGGCCAGGCTGGAAAGAGGGAGGAGTAGAGAATGGAGAGGAAGGATAGAGGGTGAGGGCCGTAGGCGAAAGAACGATAAGGGAGATCAGGGAGGCGAGAGGAGGTGACGATCGAGAAGGGGGGAGTAGAGGACGGAAGAGAGAGGAGCGAGAGGAGGCGAAGCGGGCGGACGAGAGAGATGGGAGAGGGGACCGGGAGCGGAGGCTGCGCCTGGCAGACGGACGGCGAATCGATGTGACTGAGCCCTGGTGCGCAGAGCGGGCGGGACGCGTCGGAAGTGTTCGAGGCGGGGGGCGGTGGCGGGCCCGCGGGCGCGCCGCAGCGCACGGAAGTGATCGACGAGGCGGGTGTTCGCGTGCGGACTTCGGGTGGCGGTGGGGCGAGCGAAGCGGAACTGTCGCCGGGGAGGCGTTGAGCTGAGGGCGACGGTGGGCAACGTCGGCGATCGCGGTGCGTGTAGGCGACGACGCTGCGCTTACGTCGGGCGGACGCTGGTGATTCGCGAAGGGGGGTATAAGTGGTGGGGGGATGCGGTCTTGGGCCGCTGCTCGCGGCGGCGCTGTCGATCGCGCGTGTTGTCGATGAGCGACGACGCGGCGCCCGGAATTACCGCTACGGGGCATGCGCGGACGCGGTGGCGTGTAGGAGACGAGGGACACGGCGAAAAAAATGCTCGGGGGTGGTGGTTTGGAGGTGTGGTGGTTAGGGAGGCCGAAGCGGCGGGCGGACTGGAGGTGACGGGGAGATGACGAGCGGCGCTGGAAGCCCGGGGGGGGGTCGTTCACGCTGTCGGCGACGGTGCGCAACGCGGGCGACGGGCGGGGCGGCGGCGACGACGCTGCGCTACCACCGCTCGGCGGACGCGACGATCACGACATCGGACACGCAGGTGGGAACGGACGCGGTGGATGCGCTGCCGCCTCGGGTGAGCGCGGATGTCGGTCCGGTACGGCTGCCGACGACGGCGGGCACGTACTACTACGGGGCGTGCGTGGACCGGTTGGAGGGCGAAGTCGGACGCGACGCGACAACTGCCTCGTCGCCGGTCAGCTGACGTGTCGAGCCGACGGCCCCGGTCCGGCCCCGCCTCCGAACCGGACCCGCCGCCCCCCGCCGGCCCCGGCCTAGGAGGTCGGGACGCCGACGGTGGGGAACGACGCGAGCCTGGAGCCGGGGGGAAATCGTTCACGCTGACGGCGACGTGGCGAACGCGGGGCGACGGCGCGGCGGCGGCGGCGATGCTGCGTACTCACCGCTCGGCGGACGGACGATTACGACACGGAACGCGCAGGTGGGACGGGAACGCGGTGGATGCGCTGGGGCCGCTTCCGGTTCGAGAGCGGTGAATAGATCGCGCTGACGGGCGCCGCGACGGCGGACATGATTACCACTACGGCGAGTGCGTGGAAGCGGTTGCCGGAGGAGTCGCGAGTGTCGAACAACTGATAGTCGGCGGTGACGTTTACGGTGCGCGGAGCGGACGATGGGCCGGACTTGGCGGTGGTGTCTGGAGCGGGCCCGTGAGTTTGGTGTTTCGGGGGGGAGTGGATCGGGGGTTGGTGCGACGGTACGCAGTTTGCGAGGGGACGCGCCGAGAGTGGATGGGCTTGTACTTTTCGGAGGGACGGCGGCGGTTTCGCCGTCGGATGAGATTATGGGCATTTCCGGTTTGGCGCGTTGGCGTGTTGGCGACACGGGACCTTTCGGTGGCCTTATGTGACGGGTGTCGCGCAGGAGGGTTGTGTTGGGTGGGGGGTGGGGTTGGGGTTTTTGTGGTTTGCGGCGGGGTCACCTTGGGCACTACTACTACGGGGCGTGTCGTGAAACTCGCTCGTGCCGCACGAGTCGGACACGTCGAACAACTGCTCGCGTGTGCAGGGGAGGGTGGTCGAGCCGACATCCGCCGGACCTGGCTGGTGTGCGAGCGGAGACCCGCTTGCGAGTCAGGGTGTTGCCGGGGGAGAGGACGATCACGTGCGGCGACGGTCCGCAACAGTGGCGCCGTTTCGATCCGCGCCTCGACGCGCGGATCGGCTTGTACGTTCGGACGGACTCGCGGCTCGCCATCGAGATCACAGACTGCCGCACTGACATCGTGAGCGCGATGGCGGTTGGCGACACGCGGACCTTTCAGCTGGCCTTGTGGACGGTGCGACGGACGGTGGGGCACCCACTACTCACGGACGGGGCTTTGTGCGTGACGCCGTGCGCACGCAGTTCGACACGTCGAACACAAATGCTCGACGATTGCCTCGGTGACGTGCGGAGCCGTCGGGGCGGACGGCGGCGGCCCTGTACGATCGTGGCGTCATCATAGCGGGCCCTGCGAGTTGGCGGCGACGGTGAGCAACGTCGCGGTACGAGAGGTCGGTGTGTTACGACGCGGCTGACCTGTCAGACGCGCGTCGTGGTGGGGCAGCTCGCGTCGGGAGCTGTGCCGCTCCACCCTGGGGCACAGCAGGGCGTCACGTCGCATGGATCGTCAGATCCGGGGAGCTGCTACGGGTGCGTTGATGCCCGCCGACGAGACGAGTCTCACCGCAACAACTGCTCCTAGACAGTCTAGTTACAAGTCACATATTCGAGTGACAGCACAGTGACGCTGCGGACGCAGGGAAGGTGTCTGTCGCACGCGGGCTGCGCCACGAGGCGCTCGGCGGGCAGCCGCGGTTCGTGGGCGTGAGTTCACGACGGGACATCGGCAGGGCGATGCCGCGGCGGGGGCGGTAGCCGCGCGGGTTCGTGATGGCGCGGTTCGAAGCGCGGCGTTGAGGAACGGGGAGCGGAACATGAGTGGGAGCAAACGTGGTCCCGAGGGGCGGTCCGCGGAGGCGGAGACCTCGACGGTGGTCTTGACGAGGACCGGGCGCCGGCGGGTCGCCGTGCCGCGTCGCTGGTCGACGTGGGTCCCTGTGTTCGCGGTGTGCCGTCGGTCGGCTGTGCGGGATGCTGCCTGGGGCGCGGAGGAGGCGCACACGGTGCCGTACGTGCCGTCGGCTTCGTCGGAGGGGCGCGCGGGCGTGGTTCGGATCGAGAGCCGCTCGGCGGTTCCGGGCGAGGTCCGGATCATGGCGGTGGACGACGCGGGCCAGCGACTGGAGGCGGGTCGTCTGACGCTGGGCGCGAAGGCGGCGGTCGAGTTCGAGATCGATGCGCTGGAGTCCGGGAACACGTCGCTGGGTCTGACGGGGACGGGCCCCGGGGAGGGCGACTGGCGTCTGGAGCTGACGACGGAGCTGGACATCGAGGCGCGGGCGTACGCGCGGTCGGAGGGTTTTCTGACGGCGCTGCACGACGCGGCGCTGGTGGCGGGCGAGGTGGAGCTGCCGCTTTTCCACCCCGGCGGCGAGGCGCGGCCGCGCAGCGTGCTGAGGCTGGCGAACGCGGGCGGCGAGCGTGCGACGGTGACGGTGGGCGGCATCGACGACGCGGGTCGCGCGGGAGGTCCGGTGACGGTGGAGCTGGGGGCGTGGGAGTCGCGCGGCTACACGGCGTCGGAGCTGGAGAGCGGGTCGGCGGCGGTCTTCGGGATCGCTGACGGCGAGGGGAAGTGGCGGCTGAAGCTGGAGCGGAGCGGGATCGGCGTACGCGACGAACCTGCTGCTGGACGGATCGGTGTTGTCGAGCGTGCCCGGGGCATGTCGCTGACCTGGGCGCTTGCACCGGTGTCGCTGTTTCCGTCGCGTCGGACGGCGCGGGACGCGCCGGCGGTGCGGGTGGTTGAACACGGTCGACGGAGTCGGCGGAGGTCGGATCGACGCGTTCGGACGCGACGGACCGCGCTTACGAAGGTTGCGATGTCGCTGGGCGGGGATTCGTCGGAGCAGTTCGATCGACTGACCTCGAGCACGCAATTCGGAGAAGGGTCTGCGGGGAAGCCGGGATCGGCGAGGGCGACTGGTGGCTGGAGCTGACGAGCGTGTCGGACATCGAGGTGCTGTCGTACGTGGACACGGCGACGGGCCGCTGTCGGCGGTGCGCGGCCGGCGGGAGTCGAGACGGGACGGGGATGCGCGTACGAGGCGGTGCTGCTGTCGGCGCGGCGGCAGCGGCGGCTGCTGAACGCGGGCCGGCGAAAACGTGCGCGGTGCGCGTGTCGGGCACGCACGACGCGGGCGCCCGGGAGTCGGCGGAGTGACTCTCGCGCCGTGGGCGTCGCGTACGCTGACGCGGGAGGCGCTCGAGGAAGGCGAAGGGTGCTCGCGGCGCGCTGGGCGCGGGGACCGGGAGCTGGCGTCTGTATCTGGAGTCGGACGGCGAGATCGATGTGCTGAGCCTGTGTGCGCGGCGCGGCGGGACGCTGTCGACGTGTCGCGGCGGGGGGCCCGCGGGCGCGCCGCCGCCACGGACGTGATCGACGCGGCGGTGTCGCGTGGCGACCTCGGGTGGCGGCGTCGGCGAGCGCAGCGGAGCTGTCGCCCGGGGAGGCGTTCGAGCTGACGGCGACGGTGGGCAACGTCGGCGATCGCGAGCGTCGGCGACGACGCTGCGCTACCACCGCTCGGCGGACGCCGACATCACGCCCGGGGACACCGAGGTTGGAACGGGCCCCGTGGCCGCGCTCGCGGCGGCGCAGTCGATCGCGCGGTCGTTGTCGCTCGTCGCGCCGACGGCGCCCGGCACCTACCGCTACGGGGCATGCGCGGACGCGGTGGCGGAGGAGACGAACACGGCGAACAACTGCTCGGCGGCGGTGGCGGTGACGGTGCGGGAGCCGCCGCGGCGGCCGGACCTGGGTGACGGCTTCGGCGAGCGATGCGGCGCTGGAGCCCGGGGAGTCGTTCGGTCTCGGCGCCACGGTGCGCAACCGGGGCGGCGCGGGGGCGTCGGCGACGACGCTGCGCTACCACCGCTCGGCGGACGCGCGATCGGGACAACGGACGCGCAGGTGGGAACGGACGCGGTGGCAGCGCTGGCCGCCTCGGGTTCGAGCGCGGAATCGATCGCGCTGACGGCGCCGACGACGGCGGGCACGTACTACTACGGGGCGTGCGTGGACGCGGTGGAGGGCGAGTCGGACACGACGACAACTGCTCGTCGCCGGTCGGGCTGGACGTGTCGGAGCCGACGGCCCCGGCCCCGCCCCCGCCTCCGCGGTCCGCCCCCGCCTCCGCCCCGGTCCCGCCCCCGGTCCCGGCCCCGCCCCCGCCGCCGGCCCGACCTTGAGGTCGGGACGCCGACGGTGGACGACGCGAGCCTGGAGCCGGGGGAATCGTTCACGCTGTCGGCGACGGTGGCGAACGCGGGCGACGGCGCGGCGGCGGCGACGACGCTGCGCTACCGCCGCTCGGCGGACGCGACGATCTCGACAACGGACGCGCAGGTGGGAACGGACGCGGTGGACGCGCTGGCCGCCTCCGGTTCGAGCGCGGAATCGATCGCGCTGACGGCGCCGACGACGGCGGGCAGCTACACTACGGCGCGTGCGTGGACGCGGTGCCGGACGAGTCGCGACGTCGAACAACTGCTCGTCGGCGGTGACGGTGACGGTGCGCGAGCCGACGCTGCGGCCGGACCTGGCGGTGGTGTCTGTGAGCGGGCCCGACGAGCCGCTGTTGCCGTGGGAGATGTTCACCTTGCGGGCGACGGTCCGCAGCGTTGGCGCCGCGGACGCGCCCAGGACGTGGATCGGCTTGTACTTTTCGGAGGACGCGGCGGTCTCGCCATCGGATGAGATGTTGGGCTATTACAGTGTGAACGCGATGGCGGTGGGTGACACGACGGGACGCTTGTGGTCTCGCGTGACGGCGCCGCCGTCGGCGGGCACCTACCACTACGGCGCGTGCGTGAACGCCGTGCCGCACGAGTCGGACACGACGAACAACTGCTCGACGGTGGAGGTGACGGTGCGGGAGCCGTCGGGGCGACCGGACCTGACGATCATGGCGTACGGCGGACGCTGCTGGTACAAGGCGACGGTGACCAACGTCGGTACCGAAAGGTCGGTGCAAACGCGGTTGACCTGGTACCACGCTGGCAGTGAGAACGTATTCGGTTCTCCATGGTATCTGCCGGTGATCGACCCGGGGCAGGACGCGAGCCTCGAGCGGCAGTCTCCAGGTCTGGCGGCTGGGCGCTACTACGCGTGCGTTGATGCCCCGCCGGGCGAGACGGTCACCGACAACAACTGCTCCGAGACAGTCGAGGTGACAGCACATTGACGCTGCGGACCAGCGAAGGAGTGTCGCCGCCGGCTGCGCCACGAGGCGCTCGGCGGGCAGCCGCGGTTCGTGGGTGAGTTTTCGATCGGGCATCGGCGTGGTGGCGGGCTGGTGATGGCGCGGTTCGAAGCGCGGCGCTGAGGAACGGGGAGCGGCACATGGGTGGAGCAAACGTGGTCCTGCGGGACAGTCGCGCGGAGGCGGAGACCTCGAAGGTGGTCTTGACGAGGACCGGGCGCCGGCGGGTTCGCCGCGCCGCCGGCGCATGGTCGAGGTGGCATGTGTTGGCGTGGTTGCCCGCGGCGGCATTGGGGATGGCGGCCTGGGGCGCGGAGGAGGGCGCACACGGTGCCGTACCTGCCTTCGGCGGCGGCGGAGGGGCACGCCGGATTGGTTCGGATCGAGAGCCGGTCGGCTCGCCCAGGCGAGGTTCGCGTGGTGGCGGTCGACGACGCGGGCCAGCGACTGGAGGCGGGTCGCTGACGCTGGGCGCGGGCGCGGCGATGGAGTTCGAGATGGCGGCGATGGAGTCGGGAACGCGGCGCCGGGGCTGGCGGGGACGGGGCCGGGCCAGGGTGACTGGCGTCTGGAACTGACGACGGAGCTGGACATCGAGGCGCGGGCGTACGCGCGGTCGGAGGGTTTTCTGACGGCGCTGCACGACGCGGCGCTGGTGGCGGCGAGGTGGAGCTGCCGCTGTTCACCCCGGCGGCGAAGCGCGGCCGCGCAGCGTGCTGAGGCTGTGCGACGCGGGGGCGAGCGTGCGACGTTGACGGTGGGCGGTATCGACGACGCGGGACATGCGGGCGGAGAGGGTGACGGCGAGCTTGGGGCGTGGGAGGCCCGCGGCTACACGGCGTCGGAGCTGGAGAGCGGGTCGGCGGCGGGGCTGACGGGATCGCTGGGGGACGGCGCCGGCAATGGCGCTGATGCTGGAGGGCGGAGCGGGGATCGGCGTACGCGACTAGAGACCTGCTGCGGACGGATCGTGTTGTCGAGCGTGCCCGTTGAGCATGTCGCGGGCGCCGGAGGCCTGCACCGTGTTTCGCTGTTCCCGTCGCGCGTCGGACGGCGCGGACGGCGCGGCGTGGTTCGGGTGGTCACCGTTCGCGGAGTCTGCGGAGGTCGGGGCTCGACGCGTCTCGACGCGACGACCGCGCCATCATACGAGCGGTTGCGGCTGCCGCTGGCGGATGCGTCGGAGCAGTTCGACTCGACGGACTCGAGCAGACTGTGCAATTCGGAGAGGTGTCTCGAGGGAGGCACGGATCGGCGAGCGAGACTGGTGGCTGAACTGACGAGCGAGTCGGACATCGAGGTGCTGTCGTATCGTGGACACGACGACGTCCCGCTTGTCGGCGTGCGCGCGCGCGGCGGAGTCGAGACGGATGCGGGATGCGCTACTAGCGGTGACGTGCTGTCGGCGCCGGCGGGCGAGCTGCGGCTGCTGAACGCGGGCGCGAACGTCGCGGTGCGCGTGTCGGGGACGGACGACGCGGAGCTCCGGATGCGCGAGCGAGTTGACGCTTGGCGCCGTGGGCGTCGCGGACGCTGACGCGGAGGCGCTCGAGAAGGCGAAGGCGAGCTCTGCGCGCGCGCTGCTGGGTCGGTGACCGGCGCTGCGCGCTGACGCGTGGAGTCATACGGCGAGTCGAGTGCTGAGCCTGGTGCGCGGCGCGGGCTGGACGTGTCGGAAGTGTCTGCGGCGGGGGCGGGCCCGCGGTGCGCCAGCCGCGCAAGGAGTGATCGACGCGTCGTTTCGCGTCGGACTTCGGTGGGGCGTCGCGAGGCGAAGGGGAATGTCGCCGGGGAGGCGTTCGATTCTGGCGCGACGTGGGCAAACGTCCTGCGATCGCCGTGCGTCGGCGGACGACGCTTCGGCTATTACCGCTCGGCGGACGCAGATGATCGCGACCGGGGACACCGAGGTGGGAACGGACCCCTTGGCCGGGCTCGCGGCGGCGCAGTCGATAGCGCGGTCGTTGTCGCTGAGCGCGCCGACGGCGCCCGGCACCTACCACTACGGGCGTGCGTGACTCTGGGCGGGAGGAGACGAACCGGCGAACAACTGCCTCGGCCGCGTGGCGGGGATGGTTCGGTGAGCCGCCGCGGCCGCCTACCTGAGGTGACGGCTTCGGCGAGCGAAGCGGCGCTGG